GCATTAGCTGTTCCATTCACAGGATTTATTTTCAGATGTTTCTGAAATAAACAAAATGAAGTATCGCTAGTAACTTCTGATCAGTTCACAGATTCAGTCAATAGCTAAATAACTATCCTTCCGCCGATTATAAAAACTACATCATACATTAGATTTGATGAAAGGAGAGCATAAGAAGGTAATCATATGGAAAGTAAGTTTTTAAATTACAAAATGAGCATCGGTCCAACTTTTGAATAACTCCTACCTTCTACAACACTGAATGATATGTATTATAATTATTTCACCAAGAGAGTTGTCAAAATTAAAGCACGAAAAAAATGCGATTCATGAAGTTTTTCCAGCGCTATCGCAAGATATGGGAGCATTGTGGTGGCAATGCATTTGAATCTCGTGATCAATTTTTTGTTAAAATCGTGACTGAACCTAAGGTGGGGGAAGAGAGGCTCCAGGTTGCGTAAGCAATTGTTATTTTCCCCGGAATTCCTGACTCCCCCCACCTACGCCTAGTCTTAGAGGATGCTCCCATATCTTGCGATAGCGCCATTTTTCTTTATTTGCTCATTGCACTTCCATTATTCCCATCATGCCACACTACCAGGCGTGCTCTCATCTCAAAAAATCCTATGAAAGTCTAGGCCAGGTTGTGAAAGTGCAAGTGCTTAGCCACCGCGTAGCCCTTTCTGGACACCTTCGCAGTCTTTCAAAATCACTGATCGTTTACAGGACACCTAAATTTCCACCTAATCAATTTTTCACTTTTTCTTACAAATTTGTTCACCTTCAATTGCAGTACTCGCAGACATGCCGGAGAGTTCTTCTGTCCTGTCGGTTTCCATATCAACAGGCTTCCATCCTCTCGTTATCATCCCTGCTGTGATAATCACCGGGATTAGTTCCCTCCTATAATATATCGCAACGACAGCTTCACGTATTTTCAGTTGTCATTATGCCACAAAATTCCACTCTACTGCCGACTATACCAATCGACTTTTATGCTTCGCTTTAATTTTTCTACTGTATCAATTTGTATAAAATGCAACAAAGTAGCGGAGATGGTGCAGTGCCAAGCGGCGCCGCTCATCAAGGCCATGATCAGGGGTTAAATCCCAGGTCGAGTCTCGCCAGGGCCAAACACGTTTTCAATCCCTCCACAATGCTTGTGTAATATAGGGATCGGCGTTGAGAGGGTAAAACAATGAACTGTGTTGAGCTGGACCCTGCAACTCATTGTAATAGGTGCATGTCGTCACAACTCGAATGCAATAAGCGTTCTGAACAATGGGCATGCATGCGCTTCCCAGATAGGCTGGATCAACATCGCATATTTAGAGCTTATGGTTTTTACTCCAGGTAACCAACTTGATTTTTTGAATGCTTGAGTTAAAATTATATGAGAAAACTGAAGCGTTGCATTGTAGAGTTTCGCCCATAACGCAGCATTTTAGTGATAAAAATTATTAAATTTAATAAAATTATTAAAATTAAAGTTAAAATTATTGAAATTTTAGTATTAGTATAACTCCTTGTTGTCTATGTGTTAGTGGTGTAGGCGCTTAAGGTGAATGACCATATTATTCACAGGTAATCCGTGGAGAGCTTACCAGAGCAAGTGGGAACACACATCTCATCGAAGTGTGCTGTCTGTTGTCAGACGTCTGGGAGTGAATAGCTTGCATCTCACATTGTTCTCCTCACCTTTCCCTCATCGTATCCCATAAAATGAAAGCTTATGCACTATCAATTTTCTCTTATACTTGACTATAATGTTCGTGTTCCTGGCTTGTTCTAATGTCATGAATTAAGGCTGAGCTTACGATTAGAAGCAGCCCTATTCTGAATTGGGTAGGGTGGTAAGGTGAGTGCAGGGATGAAGGATCATCAGGCAAGGCCGCAAAACGACCGATAAATTGGGAGACCTTCCTTGCAGTTGAGTTTCCGCATTGAATGCGGACTCTCATCGGTCGCTCTCTCAACACTAAAACGGCGTCTGGATACAAACGGCTATCGAGCCTGCAGCGAGTGTTAGCCAGTTGGTGGGTCTTATCTCGCCGATAGGCCGCGGAAGGATCATGCCAGGTCGGCGGGCACCGTCTACTGCTGCGACTGCTGTGTGTCGGTCCGTTCTCTCTTATTTATGATGTTTTTTTCTTCGCCGTCTTTCCACTCGGTAATTTCCCCCTTCTTCGACACTTATCAATGAATCTTGAAAGGCCATTCGCTGGGATGAGGTTGCTGTGTCCTGTTGAGGCCCGCATGTAATAGTTGCCCACCCGTTGCCGGCTCAAAATGAGGCGGTCAGGACTAATAGTTGGAGACGTACAACCATCGACTCCCCGTGCAACACTCCCCGCCCACCGCGGTTAGTGTGAGGATTGAAGGTGATGGTTTGCTATAAGCAAGCTGTTTGAGACGTGTCGGCTAGTAGCACTTCAAGATAAGATGAAATGTATCTAATGATGAGGCACTGTTAAAAAAAAACTCGTGCGAACACGCTCCTTCCCCATTCCAAGGTGGGCGCTGCTGAAAGTGAAGTTGATCTTGTTCAAGCGTAATCGGCAGTTTCCTTAGTTTTTTTAGGCCATCCCCCTCTCTCCAACTTCCTTAACGCTCTTACACACATTTTCCCCAGGACTTGCCTTCAAAATTTAATAAACAGGGGAGAGGAATATGAACGTCTCCTCACATGAAGAAATATGATGAGACGATCGATGGTATCTAAGTGAGAAGAAACGGCCACTTGACCAACCTCCTTTGGCAGACTCTCTAGCATGCTTCAGACCCGTATAAGAACTCACGTCTACTAAGGTGGCCGTACACTTGACAATCAAGGGCCAAGACCGAGGCGATAAAAAAGATTTTGACACCCACACAAAGCCAACAACCATGCTGATCAATGGGTTTTCCGAGTCTGTCTTAGCAAGAGCCCATCGACGATGAGCGTCGGTTACCTTTCCTGCCATATTTCATGGACAGCACACCCATTCGAAGGCATCTGTTATGATCGGCAATTTTGTTTCGGCAATTTTCTTGCCGAATCTTCGCCCCTTCAAGGCTAGCTCGAAATCTTGGCTGTGGGTTATAATATAGATCTGTTAGGGGGCTTATTCTTGCATTGGCACTGATTTGGCGCAAGCAGAGTTCCATATCAAATCGAGACATTGGCCCAACTTGGAGAAGGTGGGGTTGTGATGAGCAAACAGTGCGTTTTATGTGCATGGCGCATTCTAAAGGTATTGATTATCTTTCCTTTTCTACATATTCCAACAAATAGAGTGCTACTGCTAAGAGCTGATTAATGGAGCTGCTTACGTCAATCTATCCATTACATTACATAATTGAGGTCTATGGATCATTCATTGTGCACTTGTTCAATTGCGGCATTTTTTGCTGAAGAATTACCTCTGCCTTTATAAATAAATCATGCCTGCTTGCATTTCTACTCCTTTTGAGCTCATGTTGATTGGTCCACCTCTCTTTTCTTATCTCATTCGTGGCCCCTCCATTGTGGGTGCTTAGCGGGTGCGTAGCGTTTCTCCTCCTGGGGTCAGGTCACCTAAAATTGAGACGCCGTTCATTCGCTCGGAGCAAGCTTAGGACTAAGCCTAGGCCCAATCATAGGCTTAGGCATAAGCCAATGTGTAAGCATAAGCCTTAACCTAAGTCTAAACCCAAACTTAACCTTAAGCTTCAATGATCGCGCAACTGTGGTGACCTGACCCCAGGAGGAGAAACGCACGTCTCCCTTCATTTTGGGGGGCCAGCCCCATCCTTCCCCTTTGACATAACCTATTTCTCGTGAAAAACTCTACATTTGGTGCGGAATTCCGATTCGAGTTGAGATTGTTAATGCCTGAAATGAGATATATTTTCAGATTGGCACGGGTTCTTCCTTCTCATCATGTCCATGGGTGCCGGAGATAGCCAGGACGACGGGGTCTGGATGATGACATCCAGTTTTACCATTTTCACAATGACTGCAGGTAGGTCAAAGAGAGATCTCTTTAGTCCGCTTCTTCAGACGCTGACGTTTTTTCAGGGTTTGGGCTGCTAGAATCGGGACGAGTATCACCGAAGGACGAGGTAAACGTAATGGTGAAAAATGTGGTGGATGTGATTTTTGGAGGTGGGTGATTTTCCGTCATCTGTCCGCCAAATCTTCGGCTTGTCACCTTGAAGTGGAACCTGTGAGTGCATACGACGAAGAAACGAATTCGTCGACTGTGCATGGCTGTTTCCGGTCGATCAAGAACATTACTCTATTAAGTTGGGAATAGAGTTCTCGAGGCTTCAGCTGGATTCTAAATACTACAGCGGAAGGGGTTCCTACAATTTCAAGTTTCGAGGAATAAGATCTAGGAGGCATAATCTAAATTGTATCGGAATTGCAGACGGACTGAACACTACGAATTAGGCCTAATTTGAATCACATTCTTTTCTTAGAGCCAGGAAAAACGAGAAACATATGTTGCTGATTACAAAATGCGGGAGAAACATTCTCAGGACCTTTCTGAAGAAAACAAATCGATTTATGGTTAAAGGCGAGCCTCGGAAAACACTGGTGTATATGGGCGCTTCATAGTGATGATTGAGCACGCCATTCAAGAGAACCAGATTTCTCGAATCGTGTGCTCTATCAAAAGCAGTGGGTGGGAAGCGTTGCAATAACGGCCGATGGTTGCAGGCGCGTAAGGATTAGCGCCTTAAAGGCAAGATTCGGGATAAAATAGGTGTCTAAAAGCGTTCAGTCATGATACTAGAGGTGGGAGGTGGTCTATAAAT